ATCTGTTGTTCAGGTTTGTCTGCACTAACTGACTGCATTTCTCCACCTGTCAGCAACAACTCACCAGAACGCTGTGTGTGTGTTTGTGTGTATTTTGGAGAGGGTTTTTTTGTGTTTTTTTTCTCTTCCAAGGCGGCATCGTTATTCTTGGCTCAGTAGAATAGCGAGTCTTTAGGGGAATAAAACGGACACAGACATTCAGTCTTAGACACGCACTCTTTTTGAAACAACACACACACAACACAACACAGACACCCACTAAGCTGGAATTCCCCCGGATGTCACCCTTGCCCTGTTGTCATTGTAACTGTTCAAATGACAGGAGGGTGGTCAAAACAAAACTCCCACAATCCTCTTTCTTCATTCTCTCCTTCGTTTGTTTCTATATCCCCCTCTTTTTCTTCACTCTTCCCAATGCCCCCTCTGCATCCCCTCACTCTGTCACTTCCTGTCTCTCTCTCTTCAGGTCTGTGTAGCCCTATATATTAAATATTAATGTCAGTTGTGCTCTGAGCCATAATTGCCATCTCAGCCTCTGAATAATGGATGTAACTGTGCTGTTCACTACTCGCGCCATGGCTAACAGGCAAAAAAAAACAGCATCCAACCATGGTTTCCTACATATCTGTGGGGCTAACAGGCTAAATAAGACTAGCATGGTTGATTACATTAACATGGTCAAGAATAAACAGCAGCTTAAAATGACACATGTGGTTGACTACATAACAATGTGTATAAGCTGAAAGAACAGGCATTGAACTACAGGTAAACTTGATTGAAATGAAATGGTCAGTTCCCCCCCCCCCCTCTTCACAGCAGAAGGAAGCAAAGGACAGACACACAAACATAGCAGCAGCTTAAGAACCGGGCATTTTTCTAAGGAGTTAAACCAGAGATAGAAGAAGAGTGAATATTGGACTTACATTCATCAGGTGACCAGAACCACAAGCTCCAAATCAATGCTGATGTATATCTGTGTCATCTGGATTTTCAAGCATATAATGTTTTCTATCTTGTGAGCCATATCAACATAGGTGATAAAACAACATGCCATGGCTGTGTGTTTGTCTGATGACGCATTCTTATCCCCCCAAGAACAGCAGAGGTGTAAGGTGTAATGATGAATAACTTAATAATAATGAGATCCCATAACATTGTCATTCCTGACTTTTCAATTGGGCTATGGTTAGGCTTTTTTTAACAGCATTACCACCACCTCTCCTTCACCTTAACCAAGGGTTCTTGTAAGCCTCACAATAAACATACTGTATCCATAATTCCTCTATCACCTTCTCATAAACGTAAAGCACTCAGCAGTAACTGTTTAAACTAACACAAATGTGACAGTACATGTCATTACCCTTCTCAGTGGTACTTCCCATGTCTCTTGTCTGTATCTAAACTGCCCTTAAAATGCTAAATGCCCAAATGAATAATCTTGACAAGGGCGTAGAAATATCCTGGAGGCTAGTCTTCATACTTTCTTTATTTGTTTTTCTCATTTATTATTTCTTCTTTCTTTGTTTTATACCTTTCCCTTGCTACCATTCTTACACTACCCTGCAGACGGTTTGTGTGTGTGTGTGCGTGTGTGTGTGTGTGTGTGTGTGTGTGTGTGTGTGTGTGTGTGTGTGTGTGTGTGTGTGTGTGTGTGTGTGTGTGTGTGGGTGTGTGGTGTGTGTGTGTGTGTGTGTGAGTGTGAGCCGGGTCAGCTCTCTGAGTGTGCTACTCACAGTATAGCAAAGGTCAACAGCGCTGTTATCACTTGAACATGATCGGGGCCTCGGAGAGGGGGGAGTGAGATAGAGGCGAGAGGGGGAGAGTGCTCCCCTCCCCCACAGTCATTCAGACTCTTATAATTGCCCGGTTTAATTGGAGGCCTCTTAACGACCAGTGACTGGACCAGCCAATCAATTCACACAAGGTGTCTGTGTGTGTGTGCAGGCGTGTGGTGTAGTAGCTGCAGGGCCTTTTTGTAGCAGAGTTGATTAGGCCAGATGGGGTCAAGTGAAGGGGGAAGAGGAAAGCACACATACTGCATTAAAATGTAGAATATCTTCTGTTGGCAATCAATGAGAGAAAACGCTCTCTCAGGAAATAAACGGATAGAGTAGAGCACCAAATGAAAATATGAAAAATAATGAGCAATATCATCAGATCAGAAGGGAGATAAGCCAATGATAGATGGAAATGATTTGGACTGTGAACTAATTAAATTAATACAGAGGAGATTGTAGTGGTGATTCAGTTTATGTTTTAAGACGTACATGTCTTTCGCCGTTAGATGTGAGAGACGTTCTCATTCCCCTTTGCAGAAATATTGGTCGGCTAGTAATCAAGGAATGTTTTGATTAACAAAATGTGTTGCACTACCTGTATTGTTAGTATCTTGTGTTTTAACAAGCACAAGATAGAAGTTTTGGCTGACTGCAGATTGCAGGAAGTGGCAGTGAACTGTGTGTCTGTAACAGCAAAGAAGAAAATATACAACAAAATAAATTAGGCTTTAAAACTTAAAAAGATCTGATCTGATATTTCATCTCAGGGTACCTTTCAGATACCAACCGTCAAAAAACAGCTTTATTTCTTTCCCATATAATACATCTGTAAATGATATTATGTGGAACAATTTTTAAACATTGTATGTCAAGTAACATGAGGCCAGAGATTGCTGTGGCCCTAAAAAGTGAATAAGCTGCCTATGAAACACTGAACTTTAAAAACATATAAAAAATGGAACTAAATGGTTTCATTTCCAGTACCTGGTTTGCTTTATGAGGTTTAATGCTGCGTTGTACTTTTACCAAGTTCATTTTATCTACATTTCACAGACATAAAGCACCACATGAACCAACAGATTTAGAACTTGAGTACAGTCATTATTATGGTGTCTTACATGCTAGATATTTGAATGCAGGACTGATGAAGTTTCTGTAAAGATCTCAACTCTTCTTACACCGCTGCTTTAGTTTTTTCATATTTCAGGCAGATGAGCAGAGCGTGTGAGCTTCCTTTAAACAGAGATGTTCGGTGGAGGGTCAGCTGAGGTGGTCGTGTTAACGCTATGCTAGTGTTATGAGAAGGAGTAGACAGTGGGAGGTCAGCAGAGGTCACCGTGGCTGTCCTCCGCTGTGATAGGCTGTCACCTGGGGGTGAGGGGGTCAAGATAATTAGGCATGCAGAATCCCAGCACCCGGTGTTCTAACGAAGCCTGAGCTCGTTAACGCAGAGTTTTACACTCAGACCTGCCACTGGGCTGTGCTGCACCGCCACACACGCACATACACTCACATGTGGAGTACATGTTTGCACACACACACACACACACACACACACACACAACACACACACACACACACACACACACACACACACACACACACACACACACACACACACACACACACACACACACACACACCTCTGCATTGTCCTGGTGATCCAGTACAAGGGCTGTCATCTCTTGAACAGTAGAGCACCAGGCTCTGCCACGGGGGAATTTAAGTGATGCAGAAAAGTTGAAATGATTTAAGTATGGGGTTTAACATGAAGATAAATACAGAGAGGGCACACACTGGGAGGAAATTAAATATAAAAGCTTCGCTGTCTTTGTGGAACTTTCTAATATAATATTTTGTTGCTACAAAGAGATGCTGATTTTCCTTGGTGATCCTCAACAGGTGGTTGCTTTTGCTGATGTGTGACTGCTTTCGAGAACACTATGAGAACAATAGGAAACTAATGTAATCTAGAAAAGACAAAACCTTTTTGCAACCGAACATGGGCTGGGCGATGTGTCAATCAAACATCACTTTTTTTCTTTTAAATCCCTCAAAATGTATTTGCGCCAATATTGTAGGGTCGACTTTGGGTGCTTTATAAAAATATATACACAAGGAGATTGTTCATAAATATTGATAGTAATGTGGATATAATAGTTAATTGGGGTTATGGTAAATACTAGACCAGCTATAAAGTCTGTTTGTTTAAAATATGAAATCACTGTAGTGTAATGCCGCCTTTTAAAAACAGGAAAAGACGCTTACTTTAAGTTATCTAGTTTTACAGTATATGACGATATCGATATATCAATGTGTTGTCCAGCAACAAAAGAGAATCAGAAAGGACATAGAATAAGGTTTATACTCAGAATGCAACGTAGAGGAATCATCTCCCTGCGTGGGAAGTTGTGTTGCATTTATTGAGGTTTAACACGCAGATGTAACAAACATAAACGTGTATGCATGTGTGTGTCGGTCTTTGTTATTGTGCGAGTGTGTTCTGTTGTTTCTGCCAGGCCGGCCAGCTGGCTCACACCAAAACACAACCTGGATGTGTTTGTTAGCTGTTGATGGCCATCTGGGTGTTTGATTTACTCTGTAATATAGATTCATGACATATGGTCCCGTTTCAAACACCCAATGTCAACATAGTTCCCCTTTTCTTAAAGCATTGACATCAGGGTTAGCGTCACCTCTGTAGATTTTAAAATCTGTCTTTTCACATGTTTTCCACTGTATATGAATCCTAACCGACAAGGTTTTAATCCATATGCAGCCATGTAGGCGTCACATGTTTCTAGAAGCACTGACGATAAAAAACAGAGAAAGGAGGGTTTTAAGAAATATGATGAAATATGGATTCACAAATCAAATTGAAAAACTGAAGGTTCAACTTAAGATTTTCAAAAAATGTAACTTGCTCACCAGTTTTGTTGGAGTGTGCTGCTTTATTTGCCTTTTATGTTCATCTATCGCCTTTATGTGACATTTCAAGGCCATCTCAGTTCGCATGGATTTTTTTTAACAAATAGCTGTTCCGTATATCCACAAGGAAATTCATTTTTGACTTTCCAACAGTATAAAATATTAATTTCTATGTCTGTATTTTGGGTTCTGTCTGTGTTGGAGACTGACCTTGAATTCACATGTATTGAAGAAAAGCAGTCTTTACTCTGGTCTCATGTTAACCCCCAAATATTGCCTGTCCTCTCTTCCTCCACAGATTCTTCCTCAAGTTTTTCCTCAAGTGCAACCAGAACTGTCTAAAAAATGCAGGAAACCCACGAGACATGAGGAGGTTCCAGGTACAAACCACAGCACTTTTTTTACTCTTGTCATTTATTTCAATCTTTTTCTGTGCATGTTTTCATGTCCTAAGTCTCTATCTTCTTGCCTGTGTTTCCACACGTAACACAACACATAACTTTAGGGTTTATTGTTACACAAACACAGGAATGTGTTTCTGTAAGTAAACAAGCTATCATCGGCTTTACAGGAAACATGAGACCCTGACCCTGACTAGTCAGAACATAAATATACACACAATGCAGGGAAGAGAAAGAGAAAAGGGTGTTGGAGGGAGAAAGAAAGGAAGAAGGAAAGAGGAATTGGAAAGCAAGCAAGAAAGCCAAGATATTGCAGAGTTTAGAATAAGATTTAAGGCAGTGCAGACTTTATTATTTTCCTTATCTTCATGGCCACAACAACAATCAGGAAGACACCACTTGAGACTGAGTGGAGATACTGGACGCACAAAAGATAATGATAGATTTATTACTATGGCACGTGGGTGTGTTTGTGTGTGTGTGTGTGTGTGTGTGTGTGTGTGTGTGTGCTGTGTGTGTGTGTGTGGTGTGTGTGTGTGTGTGTGTGTGTGTGTGTGTGTTGTGTGTGTGTGTGTGTGTGTGTGTGTGTGTGTGTGTGTGAGATAGGACCGACAGAGTTGTACGGTAGCGAGTGTGTGACAGTATCTGTGCCTCTAATTGTGCAGCTCTATTGTAGTGGAACCAGAGAAGACAGCTCTGTTTCCCTGGGAGATAATTAAGGGCTGGACCCATCAGGAACTATTCAACAGAGGAGGATAGACACCACACACACACACACACACACACACACACACACACACACACACACACACACACACACACCACACACACACACACACACACACACACACACACACACACACACACACACACACTTACTAAGTGTGTGTTCAGTGTGATGGTAATAGCAGTGATAACGGGTTACATTTAAGGGAGCTTTTCAAAGTTTTCACGCTTTAAGTCCTCCTTGCTATGATCTCTAGACCCCACACTATGTAATTCCCCTTTTTTGACTCTTCCCCCCCTTTTCCTCACCAAACGTTGTCCTCTTTTATATAACCTTTTTCCTGTCTCACTCTCTTCCTTCCCCCCTCCCCCATCATGTCCTGTCCCTCTTCAGGTGGTGGTAACGACTACAGTGAGTGTTGATGGGACATGTCCTGTCAGTCTCCGACAACATGTTCGTCCACAACAACTCCAAACATGGCCGACGGGCCCGCAGACTCGACCCCGCGGAAGGAACGCAGGGATACCTAGAACATGGTAACACACAAGATGTGTGTGTGTGTGTGTGTGTGTGTGTGTGTGTTGTGTGTGTGTGTGTGTGTGTGGGTGTGTGTGTGTGTGTGTGGTGTTTGTGTTTGTGTGTGTGTGTGTGTGCCTGTCTGTCTCTCTGTCTGTGTGTGAAAGTGTGTGAGAGTAACCAGCATGGCCAGCAGATGGTTGATGGTTTAATCCTATCAGGTGATTCCTGCCCCTCCATCTGGCTAATCCAACCCACCCACCCACCCCACACACACACACACACACACACACACACACACACACACACACACACACACACCACACACACAACAAACACACACAGACACACACACACACACACACACACACACACACACACACACACACACACACTAGGTCTAATATCATTATGAGTCTTTTTTGCAAACACACCCAGACTAAAGCACGTTGTTGGTAATAACACACACACTTTTTAAGGAGATTTGGCTTTTGACAGACAAGCTTTTGTTGTTGTGATATGTGTGATATATGTATTGTTTAATTTGAGCTTATACTCACTCACACAATGCTGGAGTGACATACTGTACAGCTGACTGTATCCATTCTGTTTGAAGTATTACGATTCATGCTGAGCTTTGTGTGTGTTTATCCATGTCATATCATTAGTTTAAAAAATGAACTGCCATAATCTCATGTCAGTCGGGCTTTCGGATAAATAAATAAATTAACAGTACAAGTTCTCTCGTATCACATTACGTGAAACTTGTGCGAAGTAGGAGAAAACATGAACACATGTTTCTCATCTTCACTGGATAATTAAAAAGAAAAGGATTTCGAAATTGTTTTTTTTTAACAGCAATAAATTACATAAATACATTTTTTTTAGCGGCTAATTTTTATCTCATGCGGCCTGCAAAGACATTTGCAAACGGTGTATGTTAGATAGCACCAAACACTAGCAATCCTCAGAGCTTTTAAGTGAATCTCCCAGTCCATAATAAAAGCAGTCTTGCAGTGTTTTCATTTTCAAAGTACATTTATTCTTATACACTGTATGTTCTCCCTGGATGTCTTTAAACAATAAGGTTTAAAAAGTCCCTAAAGAATTATCAAATGGCGGTTTGACCATGCAAATAAAACAAGCATCCTCTCAGCACCTCTCATTGCACTGAGCTGGACACTTTTCAAGGAGAAACTTCCCTGCTAAAGGACCAATTGAGAAGGACTCTTTGAATCTGCAGCGCATTGAGAGTACAGTATAAGTGTGCTGTGCTAATCTGGACCTCGGCCAAAAGCCAAGGGTGTAGCTTGGAGAAATATGAGGTGCATTTGCAACACGGATGAAAAGGACTAGATTCCTGTTTAGAAACTCATTTCTCTTTTAAATGATTTTTTAAAATGTTCTTCTCTCTTCCCTCCAGGCTCGGCGCCCTGCATTAAGGCCATTAGTCCCAGTGAAGGATGGACTACAGGAGGCGCTACAGTCATCATCATAGGAGACAACTTCTTCGATGGTCTCCAAGTCATCTTCGGTACCATGTTGGTTTGGAGCGAGGTCAGTTTGTCAGAAATCATCATCCCGTCTCAATGTTGTTTCAACCCCTCAACTGTGTGCCTCTGCCCTCGACCGTTGGAAGTAATTCAATCTGAAAACATACTTTCCCTCATGGCCGGGCTCTTAGCTGCGTGTGATCATGTGAATGTGTGTGTGTAAATGTTTGTTTAAATGAGGTTTGCCTCTCTAATGAGTCCCCCCCCCCCCAACAAGCGACCGCCGCCCCTCTCTACCTTCCTCACCCACACCCCCTCTTACTCTTTCTCGGTGGAATACTGATCAAATCAGCACATTTTGATAGCCATCGGCCTAATGCTCGCACACACACACACACACACACACACACACACACACACACACACACACACACACACACACACACACACACACACACACAAATACACTGTCGTACTTTTCCCCAGCGCAACTCCTCTACAGAGTGTTTATTTGTCTTCTGACTCCACTCACCGTGTGTGCCGAGCGACCGTGGCTCCTTTCCAACAACAACACCCAGTTTGTGTGTGTTGTGTGTGCATACGCTGGCACACATGGATGGGTGTGTGTGTTAAGAGCTGAGGGGTTTGTTTACAGTGTTGAGAGCCACACTTACACACACTAACATGTGTACAGAGTCTCAGTTCAGTTCAGTTCAAACTGACCTGGCTCTCTTGGCGTTCCTCGGACAGCTTTAATGGATTATTTTGGCCAACCGAATGTTCCATTTGCACTCAACTTGATTATTGATTCCGAAGCGTGAAAACACGGTTTTGAGGAAATGTGTCGTGGGAAAGAGATTGCCTTTCTGCCAAGTTCTGTTTGTCTGCAGATTTCCCTCCTACTTGCAGATTCCTCAAACCTGAGCCAAGTAGTAAAAACTGTTTTTTGAAACCCATCCATGGAAATGCTATAAAAAAGTTAGTGTTTGTCACGTACAGCCGTGTTCGGTTCAATACAATGATTCCTCTTTATCTAACATCAACATAGGTGCTGGAAAGTCTGATTGTATCTGAAGTGGTTGTATTGTCTGTTGTACAGTAGGTCAAAAGTCCAGTAACACAATAAAAATCACATACAGTATTATGTTTTTTAACAAGATTATGATGAATACCAACCCGTTTAAATTATTCAAATATATTCTACATTGGATATAAGAGAACATATTCAACTAAATGTGAACTAAATGAGAAAAAGGAAACCGTGTTTATTCCATTTTGAATTAGTTTGAACTAAAAAACAATTATACAGCTCAGTTAAAGATCACATTTACAAGTGTAAATGCAATACATCACCAACCCACTGACTTAAACAAACATTTAAGTTGTGCTCTGGCAAGCTTACAGAATAATTTACAGCAACAGTCACAACTTGATCCATAGTCCGATTTAAAAGAAAAATGGGAGTGTAAACAACAGAACCAGGTTCAAATCAAGATTCTGTTGGAAATCAAACCTCTAGAGTTGTGTCAGTTGCTTTTTCTGATTTTTTAACAACGGACCAAACACCGGTTGCATTGTCCTGACGCAGAGCTGCATTATTTGGTGTGTTTGTGTACTGAGTCTTGGTCCGCCTTTTCCTTCCTTCTTCAGTTGATCACGCCGCATGCCATCCGGGTGCAGACGCCTCCCAGACACATCCCCGGGGTCGTCGAGGTCACTCTGTCCTACAAGTCCAAACAGTTCTGCAAAGGCACACCAGGAAGGTTCATATACACAGGTAAGTCAACTGTACACACGAATAAACACACGTGAAAATCCACATGTACATGCTCTTGATTTAATGATCTGTTGAGAGTTTTCTTCTATTTTCTTGAGGGTATGATTTATATTTAAAGTCTGCATAATACAAGCTTTTGCTGTTTTTGTCTGTGACTGCATGTGTGTGTGTGTGTTTGTGTGAATGGCTTCTATGAGTTGCAGTTCAATCCCAGGCCAAACAGTGTTGAACTAATGACTGTAGATTAGTCAACATTAACGACCCACACTCGCTAGAACGCTGCCATAATCAGAGGCTCGTTAAAAGCAGCTACAATTAAACAGTCTGCTCTTTATAGCTCTCCATACTGAAACTATTAGTGAAATCATCCAGAACACCCAGTTTACTTACACACACACGCACACACATGCACACACTTACACAAGTTAAACATACAAACACACTCAATGTTGGAAAGGAGTGTGTGAGTTGTGATTGTTGACTGTGAATGAGCGTTTTCCTGCTAAACTCAGTCAAGGAAGAAAATTACAGAACATTGGAAGAAAGTGTGTGTGTGTGTGTGTGTGTGTGTGCGTGCGTGCGTGCGTGCGTGCGTGCGTGAGTGCGTGTGTGTGTGTGTGTTTATTTGCTAATTTTCTTCTCACATACATGTGGAAATGGATAGAGGTGATGTGATGTCTGGTATTGATCCGCTCAACATGGCTCCATCACAACGTAATGATGACGTCATTCCCAGGGAGGAAAGACAGGAAAGAAAAACAGCTGCTGTGTAAATTCTTCCAAGACATTTAATGGCCGACAGATAAAGATGAGAATTTAAACCTGATCAATAGATATGAAAGAAAAACCCACCATGAATAAATTGTCCCTTTAATGCTGGCGTCAAGCTCATGAAGGCTTTTAAATCTCCGGGAAAATACTAAAGGAGGTGATGAGTTTTGTGTTTCAAGATTGAGCCACAGTCATTAAGACAAGGCTGTTAAATGGCAGTGTTAGGAGGCAACCAGGTATAATAGTGTTCAATGGAATGGATCCGTTTGGTTAGGGTTTGTAGTTAAACTGCAAGGAAATTATCTAGAAAGTTTGGTGCATCCGTCAAGCTCTTCGGTTTTGTTATAGCATGAGTGTAGTTCTTGTTTTTTCTAATTGCCATTTTGTATTTGGTGAATCCATAGAGTTGTTGTGCTGGAATTATTAAGAAAAAGTAATTTTACTTGGTAGTCTTATTATCTTTTTTTTCAGATTGTTGGTACTGTTCATCTTCAATTGTTTTGATAAGTAGGTTGAACTTCCGTTTACCAGTTCTAACAGCTAAATATTAACCCAAAAGTACCTGAATAATACATTTAAGAAACACAATGAAAAGCAACAGCAGAAGAAGAATTCAAAAGCAGGGAAGGAGTTATTTGTTGGCAGACAAAGTAAATTAGGAACTCATTCAGAAATGTTTAATGCGAGAAAATGGACTTGCTGTTAAAGAACTGAATAAATAAGTGAAATAAACAGACGCAAAATATTGTTTTTGATTTACATTTCTTGACCATGTTCGGTAGACTGAGAAAAAGTCAAGTTTTTTTACGGGTAGTGTGAGTGTTAGAAGGTGTTTTAATATCCCTAGTCGGTAGTTTCTTTGTCCAGAGAAAGGTCCAGTCAGCTCCTTCACTGTTCTTTAGTCAAACATCTTTGGTCTGACCCTGAGGCTAGCCGGCTGGTAATTGGTCCGTCTGGTGTCTAACTTCATCTCCTATTGGGCGGAGATGACCCCCGTGACCCTCGCGATTGGCTTGATGGCTTCAACATGTGACCAGGAAACGCGATCCGTTACTGCGGTTGCCTGAACCCCACCTCAAGGTTGGCTTCTTTCTGGAAGCCGCTGGTGAAAGGTCACTGCGGGGAAGCTGATTGGCTGTTGAGGTTTTTCAGTGCTTCTTAGCTGTGGGTTGCCTCTGGTGATAAGCACCGAGCAATTAACACACACACACGCAAGTATGCAAAGGCGCGCAACGTAAACACACACGCAAAGCCACCCTTGGGTAGGGTCGTGTCTTACACAACTTACCACACACACTTTCAAACGGGGGCAGGAGTTGAAAGTAATTGTAAAATCAGGGAGATATGAGGAAAGATGGTGAGTAGTCTGGTAAACAGATGGTATACCACACACAACACAACACACACACACACACACACACAACACACACACACACACACACCACACACACACACACACACACACACACACACCAGCAACATACACAAAGTGCCGTATGGCTGCTTCATCGGCCTGGTGGGAAAAATTAACATTCTCGACATCACACACTTCTATAAAAATACAATGGTGACAAAGTGACAATCAATACATTGTTCATCAACACACACACACACCACACACACACACACACACACACACCACACACACACACACACACACACACACACACACATATAGAGCTGATTTATTGTCAATGCAGCTGCATAAGAAAATCCATATCTGAGCTGTGGATAGAAGAAACTTTTAGTAAAAGCTGCAAAAATGTCACAATATTTGTTCTTTTCTTTCTTTTTACGAGCAATTCACCTTTCATCTTGCAGACACAGAAGGAGAGAAATAAAAGAGATTGAAATATATAAAGACAGAGACAGTAAAACGAAGAGACACATAAAGAGTGAGACAGAAAGGTGGACTTTTAAAACCAGATTGTAAAGTATTGATCCGCCCATAAGTGGATCACACATAAACTGATACACACATGCAGATACACACATGTGCATACACACATATACAAACACACAGAAAGTCACTGAGAGAAGTGGAGCCAGAGAGAAAGAGATCTCATCTCATAAGGGGAAGAATGAAGCAATAATTCAGTGGTATTGAACTGCAGGCTGGCCAGAGAATCGATCTTACCACACCTCCTTCTCCTCCTCCTCCTCCTCCTCCTCCTCCTCCTCCTCCTCCTCCTATTCTTCTCCTTTTACATCAGCTCTGTGTTTTCCACCCAGCCTCACCCTTTTTTCTCCCTTCCTGCTCAATTACCCACCTTACTGTTTAAACACTGTCAAAAGATATCCTCACAATTGTACAGTTTAATATACGCGCATAAGAAATCTTAGACATGCTTTCTTCTCTTTGCCACCTCCCCCTCTTGGTCTCTTCTGTCTCCCCCCTTCTGCTCACATTTTATTGTGAAACAGGAGTGGAGGGTCTGTCCTCATGAAACTTCTATGAGTATTGATCTGCGGACAGCTCTGGACTCTGAGAGGAGGACGAGCGCGGGCTGGAGGGGGAGTGATGGCGAGATGGATGGATGGGTGGATGAAAGTGGCAGAAGGTGTAGTTAAGAAAGAGGGGGGAGGAAGCAGAATAGAGGGAGGATGGGGGAGGTGGAGGAGATGCTTTAATGGACAGCAGGGTGGCAGATTAAGGCAAGATCAAATGGGTTAAAGCCTCAGTATTGTGTAAGTGCTTTCTTCTGTTGATTAGGTTGTCATATCTATAGACACATTTTTGTAGGAACAGCACAGCTTGCTGGACATTTTGAAATTCTAAATAATTATAGTAACTATAATGGTATTGGTGGTTACTATTTCACTGTACATATTGGCATAGAAAGGTTTTTTAAGAGAGATGTCAAACATTTATAAATATGTTGCTAGAAATCACCCCTAACTAAGAGCCTGATTGTTATCAGGAAAGGACCTGGTTGGATCTTGGAATAGTGCCTAACTGCTTTGGGAGTGTATCAGCACATTTTAAAACCGTGTTTCTGTTCAAATGAATGTGTAATCCACGAGACCCCTTTGCTGCACTGATACTATTTCTGTTTTTGTGCAGTAAGAAACCTCCAAAGAAAGCGTTGGAAAAACCTAACCTTTTGTCTTCAAAGTACACACACACACACTGACATGAGCCTCCACACACACAGACCTACACATACCCTTAAACACACACCACCAACATGCACACACCATCCAATGATTTAAGTAGAATGTTGTTCTATTAATAAAGAGTCGGTTGGAGACACTTTAGGCTTGAGGCAGCGAAACTAAGGTCATCCTGTTATGTACATTATGTGTCTTTGTGTGTGTGTGCGCGTGTGTGTGTGTTATATTAAAGCTAGCATCGGTTTAAACGTCTCCAGAGATGTGCAGGGAGTGTGGATCTGACACTGGCAGTTAATTCTGACAGTTGATATCCCACCGAGTGTTAGGCAGCTGTTTTTCTACTTTTGTTTTTCTCACCATAACTGAGCCTTTTTCTGTGTTTTTTGGATGGATTAACACATGCTCTCTTCTCATTCCCTCACCTCCCTTTAATTTTTTTATTTCGTATATCCCTCGCTTAACTTCCTGTTTTTTTTTCCTCAACCGTTTAGCATTGTAATTTTCACATTTATAAATCATAGAATCATAAATTGTCCAGAATTTGAAAAAGGAATGTTCTTGTGAGAGTGGGAAGTATTGTTCATGACTGTTAGCCATCTGGTATTTTTACAACTCACAATTTATGAACTTATGTTTATAACAAATTGAGTGAATTAAGACATAACAACAACCAGAAACTGGGGTGTGATGTGATAATAAAACAGACAAACTGTACATATAAAACATATGCACACACTCTCACACACACGCTATAAGAAACTAGAAAACAACATTCAGCTGCAAGTAATTTATCAGTGTTGGATGTGGAAAGTACCAAATATTACAAACACACACACACACAAACACACACACACACACACACACACACACACACACACACACACACACACACACACACACACACACACACACACACACACACACACACACACACAAACCATCTGCACCCCACACCTTCATCTCGCGCAGACTCTTTTCCTCTTCCTAAATTGCTACATTTTTTAAGTTTTGGCTATTTTTGTTGAATGTGTTTGCTATAAAAGTTACCTTACTTTTTGCATAGTAAGTTCAGGATTGGCATGCATACACTTGTTCAGCACAGACAAATAAATGCAGAAACACTTTAAATCATCCCATCACTGTGACTTACTGAGTGTAGAGCCGACTTGATTGACATGCTGATTAGATAAAGACTGTAGAAGGACATAATGGCAACAATGGCAACCCGTTTCGTCCTCGTGTAAACGGGGTCTTTCAGCGAACATTAAGCATTCTTTAGGACCCTTTAAATGTAATCTGCAGTGTTATTATTATAAAGATGCTTTTGGCACCATTAGTTACTTTACCAGGTCTCTCCATCTCTGTACATTTGCATGTTTCATTTTGTTGGGCTGCTTCATTTACATTTAATGGGAACAGTTTTTATGCTCATCAACAGACAAAATATGGGACATGGTATCACACAGTAGCTTTTGAGCGATGTGCTTTTCTCAGTTACAGTTCCTCAGCCAGATCTGAACTGCCAACCTTACAGTCACGAGCAGCTCTCTCACCTTTGATGGGACTTACTTGACATACTTGATACCAGCATGGTGCTTGGGAACAAAATGTCACAGGGCAACATCTGTGCCCCCGCTGATGGGCACAGATGTTGTCTGTCTGTTTATCATGTGCGCAGGCTCAGGTTGAACACCAACAGTATTAAAGGTGCATCGTGTAACATAACGTATTATTGTGAAATGTAAACATTATTTAGGTAGAGAAGCTTTTAATAACCCAAGTGCCTCTTCCTGCACTCTAAAACATGTGTTACTGTATTAGTGCAATGTCCATGTTAACCAATCGAGATTGTTCAAATATTTGTGATGACATTATTAATTGGATATTTTGGTGCAGCATGAGATCACTATTGTTTACCATAGTTGAAGTGCTTAAATCATGGGCTCTTTACGCAACTTCTGTATATTGTATCTGCATAGGAGAGCTCCTGTACTGTAGTTGGAAGAATTGTAGTACATAAAAGGGTGCACCAGCATTTTAAATGGTTTTAATTCATATATCTGCTTTTTTCTTGTTGTTCCGAGTTTGTATCTTCACGGTTTATTGCGCTTATTGTAAGTTGTTTTGGATAAAAGTGTCACCTAAATGAAATGTAATGTAAGGATAAAACCATTTTAACTAATTCCCCCTTCCCATTGGTCTTCTGCAGCACTGAACGAGCCGACCATTGACTACGGTTTCCAGAGGCTTCAGAAGGTCATCCCTCGGCACCCTGGGGACCCAGAGAGGCTGCCAAAGGTAAAGAAAAAACCTCATTCACCTCTCACTGATGTATCTGATGCCTTAACTGGACAGTGAACGAAGAACGAGCAAGGCTCCATCTCTTGCTTAGGGGCTCAAAACACAGACACTGATGCTCCTACAGAGATCAAACCGAACTTCTTAGTTACACCGAGCTTCACTGACTTACTCTGTTATCAAAGAACAAGCGAACAGAGATGCACACAAATTAATTCAAAACAACAAAAGAATTGTATGTTTATGTTTCATTTATTTCTTCTGAGTGTGTTGTTTTTATATTTCTAAGCAGAATATGTGTTTTCAAATCTCCTGTGGGTTGTGTTTTCACCTCTTTGTGAACTGTGTGTGTGTGAGATGCTTAAACCCATTTACAGGGTGAGCGTTTGAATCTTCTCCAGATCAGAGAGTCATATCTGATTATTTGTTTATCAGCTGGAGATCAAGCAGATTGTTTCAAGGATCAGCAGATGCTAATAATTAGCACCAAACGATGAGCGCTGCTTTGATACCAAGCGCTGTCATCTTGATCCGTACATGCAGGGTGACTTTTCAAAGTGCACATGTATGCGTGTGTCTGTGTGTGTTTGTGTGTGTGCGAGAGCCCAATTCAACATGGAACTCGTCTATCTGGGTGGGCAGGGTCATGACCTTTCAAACAGCTGCTGTTGATTGGCTCCCCGTCCCCACTGGAGCTGATCCAGGATTGGCTGTCTTTGCTGTGACATCATTATAAATGGGCGCTGGTCATGATGTGATGATGGGGCCATGACGTGATGTCATCGCCTCCGGGCCGACACCCTGGCTCCAGCTCATGTGTTAGCAATGTAGCGTGCGTTAACACTTTGGAATCACACACACTTCACACCACATAAAGTTTAGGAAGTCCTGGACTCATGGTCACGAGTATGTATTGCTTTCACTTGTTTAAAGTATACTGCACTTTACAAGTGTTTTAACAAGGCTCATTGTTGTCTAAATTATGGTTTTAAAACCTGCAGGCAGAAACATAATAAGGGTCATGTGACTGATGAGGACTAAAGGCTATATTTGTTTTAAAAGCGGATTGTTTGAAATTAGGTGAATGAAGTATTACCGGATGTTAGAACATCTTTTAGAGTAAGCGGTGAGTTAGAAATGGTATAATTGTATGTGTTAACTAATTGATAAAACATAGTTGATACGTTTATTGTGTTCGGATTCATACCAGAATCATAAAATGATGTCTATATTGGCCGATACTGCAGCTCAAGGTTTATGACCTTCCAATGCAGGAAATAGTGTTCCCTTTAGGCTCCAACTAATGATCCATGATCAATTACTCTGGCTATTATTTCATGATTAGTTGATTAACTTTCAGGCTATAAGACATCACCAGGGTGTGAAAAATGCCCGTCCCAATTTCCTTGAGCCCAAGGTGATGTAATCAAATATATATTGTATATTGTCTTTGTCCTGCCAGCCCATTTAACATACTGAAATGTTAACACAAGGCAGCACATTTTCATTTAAAAAAAAGTGTTGTTTAAGCTTTAAAATAACCACAAAACATAAATTGTGCAAAAGGCTGTAAGAAGTCAACCCATCATAGAAAATGTAGCACTTTGAAAAGCTTTTACCTGTGACCAGGCCCGTTATATTTAGAGCAACTTAACAATTGTGCAGAAAAATCAGTGCAGGAAATGATGTAAGCATCCCAGATTGTTTGATACCAGAAGTGATTTTAGGTTCACTTTCTGGTAAAGACTGAGTCAGAGCAGAACAAGTGACTCACACATGCATTAACACACATGTGCGCGCAAACACACACTCTGCATGATTTGTGAGAGATTTACAGAGCATGACACACACCTTGTTAACAGAGAATATGTACTGCTTCCACGTTTTCCTCTCTGGATTTCCTTTTTAATGTAGAGGGGAAATAAAGCTTTACCATTCTTGTTGTTATATGTATTCATACAACTCATAATCTGATCCAGGCAATGTAATACAGTAGGTCATGAAGCATGCTGGGAGTGTGGAAAAGGAAGTGGTTGCTTAACTTTAAGCTATATTTATTGGTTGATTATTACTTTTACATAATATTTATTATGTTTTGGCACTACACTCAATGTGCCAAAGATGGTAAACATGCATTCATTAAGCCAAATACCCAATATGACATTCTATTAGTGAATATAGAAAAGAGTTAACATTAACTGTAACATTTTCATTGTGACAGATATAAGGGGGAACATCTCTTAGTGAACACATATAACTTGGACTAAATGGGCCAATAAACATCTTATGAACAAGTTATTAATATTCTGAACCCAGCAGCGATATTGGCACTGTACCTTTTTAAGCCTGTTTCTATTTTCTTTAGTCCCTTGGATTACCAATCTATTCTATTTTAAGACACATGATGTCACTGAGGCTACTTCGAGGAAAACAATGAGAACCAGTAAACTGCTGGAAAGGCAACCAGAGTAGCAGTAGAATGAATCGATCGGGTATCATGTTGGTGATGAAGAGATGTATCGGTGCTAAATGTGGAATATATGTTCCATCATGACAAGATGAAGAGGACATCCTGAGGGAGCAAGAGAAACTAAATATTATAATTCAGATTTTTCTGATTAAAGGTAGGGTAGGTAAGTTTGAGAAACCGGCTCGAGATACACTTTTTGTTATATTCCATGGAATGCTCTTAACATCCCGATAACAATGAATATCTTAAGTGCTTTGGCAAAAAATCCATAAAAAAATGTCATCTGTGGAAGCCGTAGTACTGTAAAAAGCACGACCAATCATTTTAGCCGGCCCGGCTGAAATAACTGGATGGCCTACCTGCCTGTCAGCCTTCCATCTGTGCACAAACTTATCTCGTGCCCTCATTGGTCATGTGCGCGTACGTGTGTGTTGGAGGAGGGGCTCTGTAAGGAAGTGGCAGATTTTTTCCGGCTGTGTATTTTCAAATTCTAGCGCACTCGAGCTGGTTTCTCCAAAATTACCTACCCCACCTTTAATTTAAACTCTCTAAACACACTAGTTGGACATGCGACTGTTTCACCGTCTTTTTACCGCTAACTGTGTCTTACTGTGCTCTCTGTTCAAAACAATATTCCTCTTACATGTGTGTTCCTGTTACTGTGTGTGTTCATGTGTGTGTGTGCATTAGTTGGTAATTCATCATACTGGTCGATCGAACCCTGAGACTGTATTACTGTTGCCCACCAGCAGTCACACTGTGTGTGTGTGTGTGTGTGTGTGTGTGTGTGTGTGTGTGTGTGTGTGTGTGTGTGTGTGTGTGTGTGTGTGTGTGTGTGTGTGTGTGTGTGTGTGTGTGTGTGTGTGTGTGTGTGTGTGTGTGTGTGTGTGTGTGTGTGTGTGTGTGTGTGTGTGTGTGTGTGTGTGTGTGTGTGTGTCACACTCTCTCGGAGTATCGATCAGTCCTTTTATTGAAGTTATGAGAGTTTGTTACAAGCACTATGAAGACGGCAGAACAGACACACACACACACACACACAGACATAGAGACAGACACACAGACAGACACAGACAGACACACACACACACACACACAAACACACACGCAGACAGACAGACAGACACACATACACACAGGCAGACGGGGCAGTGAAGTGTATGAGAGGATTACCAGTGGACAGCCGATTCTATAATTGTTCAGTGAACATTGAGGGGATTGCACTTGCCACACACACACACACACACACGCACGCACGTACACACACACACACACACACGCACGCACGCACGCACGCACGCACGCACACACACACACACACACACCAGTTGTCAGCTGCCATTTTGTGTCACTGTATGCTCTTCTGGATCCATCCATATGTGGCCATACAGTTACTGTATACAGTGACACACATATGCACACGGAAGCCTGAAAACCGACACACACAGACTCTGTTTCGTTGTCCTGTTGAAAACACTTTGAAGATACATAGAACAGTCAGTGTTGGAAAATCAGGGACTTTTCCGAAACTCCAGCTGTTTTTTGCCCCAGTTACACAATCCCAGACCTGGATCTTTTCAGTACAACCTAATGTACTGTACTGGGAATACTGCGATGTTAATGAACAAAATGTTATCTTCAGAATAAAAAAATGCAGTTCAACAAACCTAAATTGTGATAAAAACAATGTTCAAAATCTGCTATAAAAACTGTTTTTATACTCTAATCTGCTGCTGATCACCTGTGTGGGCGATCAGCCAGCAACTAAGAGAGAAGAAACAGAAATGCCTCTCTAGATGCACAAAGAAATCAATCTCCTCTCTTGGCTTGTAGCCCTTTCTTCAGTGCAGCAGAAATGTGGAGGAAGGAAAAAACAGCACTGGAAGCCAATATCCGTTCTCTCAGAGTTTTAATAAATAAAAGGTGATGTTTTTTGCAATAATTGACGATTTGATTTGGCCCAGGTCATGTCGGGCTTCTTGTAGCTGCCTTTAAGGGGTTTGGAAGATTCTCCATTATGGCGCAAAGGAAGGAGAGAGGATGAAAGACAGGATAAGTTAGAATAATGAAACGCACCCATTGTGTGCAGAAATGTCTGTTTCCCAGTGAAGGAGTTCAAGGTTTGAAGGGCTGACCAGTGTGTGTCACCCTCGTTAGATTGGTGACTTCCTGTAGTGAGTCACTGAGCTGACATCTGTAGGAAACTCATTTTGATGATATCATACATCGCACTGAGATCAGGTCATCAGCATCACCAAAATGAGTAATCCCCAGTGAACACATGGACTTGAAACCATGAAACTCTCAATATATGTATAGATCTGCGGTAGAAGATGTTCCCCGGAGGATGTGTGTGAGTGTGTGTGATATTGCCCCACATGCCTCTGAGCCTACATGTACTGTATGACATCATCCCTGTTTGAGGTGTGACCCTGCATGTACGGCATCCCTAATGGGACATTAGAAGCGGATCAAGCGGCTAATGTACCAGCATTAGGGAGGAATAAGTCATGTGTGTGTCATGTCTGTGCTGGCCTGGCACACGCACATCACACACACATCTGACCCCACAGATACTCTGCTCAGCATTCCCCGGACCTAATGCATATAACATGTGTGTGTGTGCGTGTGTGTCTGTGGGTGTGTGTAATGCATGGTTATCACATTAGGGCTGCTCATAACTCAGACAGTAAAAGCACCTAGACACCTCCTGTTATTCTTTCTCTGTGCCAGCAGATCTGTCTTTTATTTCACTCATCCCCCGCTTCTCTGTCTCACTGTCAGTCTGTCAGCATATTTACCTGACACTGACACAAAAAGATTATACAAAATATGTCTTGATGGCGAGTTAAATAAACTCAAAGCCGTACATCAGGAAAATATTTGTAATAGACATGACAATGACGGGTACATGTCAGGTGCATATCCATAAATAATTCACAACAGATATAGACAATGTAGGACAATCACATAAATCAAGGCAAACGTTTTGGTTTTAGATTAAAGCTTTATAATCAGGCTTTATTGCAGCATTTACAGCAATCAAAGAAAAGGCCTCAATCTGAGATAAAAAAAGACACATTTCAGAGTTGATTTCTGTCACTCTTTTGTCATAATTAATCTATTCTTGCTGTAAACACAGAAAACAGTTAACGGAAACATAAAGCAGAGGGTCAGTCCCTCAACTGAGTGAAGCACTATTTTGTGATATGAATGTTAGGACATTTAGGTAAACATTGACTAAAGCTGTCTCCTTGCATACTGAGCAAAATGCATTTGCTGCTAGAAACTTTGATATTCTGTAAAAACAAAATGAGGTAACCTTGAATTAAGATTAGCTTGTCAAACTGTTATTTCAAAGGTTAAGCATTCACACTAAATCCTGGACAAAATCTGTTGACAAAGTATTTTGGCATCTAGTTCAGCTAGCCAACACGGCACCCAGACCCCACGCAGTATTCTCATTTGTTTGTCATTACTGGTGTCATTTTCTGGTTGCTAACAAACGCCATTGTAACACATAATCACTGATGTTCCGCTGTAACGGTGGTGGACTCATCAGAACAGAGTGGGCGAGCTGACCAATCAGAGCACACTGGGCTCACAGGGAGGGGGGGCAGGATCTCCAACAAGCCGTTTAGGACAGAGAGTGAATACACATACTATACAGAGATGCTGTATGAGAAACCAATGTGAGTTTGGAAAATTGCACAATGTAAATCTATTCTAGTAGACCTCAACAATGGAATTATGATCAGTAGAAATGGCCATGTCATGGGACCTTTAAGTCCCCAATTCAATGTTTTTGTAGCTGCTATTAGATGTATTTTCATTGTTGCTGCGGGCGATCCTGTTGACAAAAGTCGAGGCCCTCGGGACATCAAAGCCGGATTATTTTAGACTTTTCAATCTTTTCGAGACGAAAATGATGCCCACAGGATGAGCACTCGTTCAAATTCATACAAACACAATGCAGCTGGAAGCAATGCTCATTTGAATTGAGCAAGAGGTAATCCGACGAACAATGCTTTCTTATTTAAAGACGCAACCTGGGAGAGATTAATTAGGCGATTTGTCTAAATATGAAAAGACGTAAACAGGCAAAGTATTCAAAGTGCATCGATCTCAGCAGTGAGAGGCTTTGAGTGATTTAGTAGCAGAAGCCTACAGACCTGATAATGATGATGTTACCAGAGGATCATCTTCCCTTCCCGTTTATCAGCTACTGCCTTACTGGAACCACTCGAACATTTAGGATCATGTTTCACAGAGTGTGTGCGTTTGTGCGTGGGGGTCTGTGTGTGGTCGTGTGTGTGTGTGTGTGTGTGTGTGTGTGTGTGTGTGTGGGTGTGTGTGTGTGTGTGTGTGTGTGTGTGTGTGTGTGTGTGTGTGTGTGTGTGTGGTGTGTGTGTGTGTGTGTGTGTGTGTGTGTGTGTGTGTGTGTGTGTGTGTGTGTGTGTGTGTGTGTGTGTGTGTGTGTGTGTGTGTGTGTGTGTGTGTGTGTGTGTGTGTGTGTGTGTCAGCTGCTCAGCTCACCAGTCTAATAATTAGAGGTTAACTGAGAGCCAGCCTAGCCATAATAATGTGTAAAAGATTGAATTTAGCACCATAGACAGGCACACTAAAACTGCTGACTGGTTCTGTAACCTCTCATATCATCACACACACACACACGCGCACACAAACACACACACACACACACACACACACACACACACACACACACACACACACACACACACACACACGCACACTGATGGAGATGCAGTATGTTCCACCGGGCGCAAATTCAAAGGAGCACACATGCAGTACAGCCAACTATATGTGTGTGTGTGTCTGTGTGTGTAACAGAGTGTGGGTTAATACTGTGAAGCACAGAGTAATTTTCTCTCTGTCGCCAGGCGGCCTCACGCTGTGGAAACGACAACACATTAACTGTTAAACAAGACACCTTAGACCCTGGGGTGGAGACGGAGAGTGCGGGCGGGTGAGGAAGAGAGGAGAAACAATAAAGAGACTGAGAAATAGAGAGAATTGTAAAAGGTTTAGTGGGTGGGGAAAATGAGAAAGACAATTCCCTATAGGGAGGCAAAGCGGGAAGAAAGGAGTGTTGGAGGAAAAGGTGAAAATGGACCGGGGGAAGATGAAGAGGAGGATATTGCAACTTCACATTTAGCAAGAATTTATCATATTAACGTGAATAAGAATGTGTGACCTCAGAGTCAAATACAGGCCATTTCTTTTTTTTTTAAAGCCCATTGAATGACTGTCACTCCAAACCTCCTCACAGTGTATCACCGTGGTGAACAGCAATGCACAGCAGAAGAGCCTACAGAGCACTTTGGATTGACTTTGGAGTATATTCTAAATGCCTGTCATTTAGAAACACAGAAATAAGATGCATAAAAGCACTTGACTTGACAGCAGATAATCTACCTTTAAAAGTGTGAGGAGCAATTTGTTTATCATGAATAGATGGTGAAGTGGATGTTGTGTGATGGTGTGTTGGGAGGAGGAAGGAGGGTGAAAGATTGCACGTGTGTTTTTTGATTGTACGTCTTCTTTTATGTCTTCACAATAGATCTAAAAATGTTATTGACTGCTGAATGTTGATGTGTTTCCAAGAAGGCTACATTCCAGATGTTTTCTGTATTTAAACTGGCCTCCTTTTTCTCTCTCCCTCAGGAGGTTATTTTAAAGAGAGCAGCTGACCTGGTAGAAGCCCTTTATGGTTTACCCCATAATAACCAGGTAATGAACACACACACAAACACATCCACAAAAATGTGAAAAGTAGAATGAGTGTTATCTCAGTCGCTACGTTTGTGGTAATCATTCCTTTGTGCTTTTCCTCCTCCTGAAGGAGATCATCCTGAAGCGTGCGGCGGACATTGCAGAAGCTCTATACAGCGTTCCCCGAGGACACAGCCAGCTCTCCGGCTCCACACACAGCGGCATGATGGGGGTCAACTCCTTCACCGGGCAGCTGTCCGTCAACGTCGCTGAACCCTCACAGGGTAATCAGGGTGAGAACTTAACTCTTAAATGGTTTCTGTATCCTGGGGGATACATTTATTTGACAGGCTGTGTCCATGTGTAAAATTGGTCTAATTACAGTGTAATTACGGTGTAGGTTAGTGCAGCGAAGTCCCTTCCCTTCCACCCCGTGTGATAGGGGTGGAATATTGCTTTTTACATGGGTGTTACATCGGCCTAATAACAGTCTAATATTGGTGCTACATGGGTATTATATGGGTCTAATAACAGTGCAACATGGGTGAAATAATGGTGTAATAACAGAGTAATATGGGTGTAATACGGGTGTAATAATGGTGTAAAATAGGGGTCTATTAATGTGCGATGTGATAACACTGTACTATGGGTGTAATGTAGAAAATAGCAATCGATACATTTTACACAATTTTAAATGCCCATTAAAGGGACCCTGTTGACAGGATCTGATAACACTTATCTATTCTGTTATAATGAGAGAAGACTGACAGAAAATGCGTTTGTATGCATGTGTTTTTAAGTAGAAATGTGAAAGAAGCAAACTAAACTTCTGGTGCCAGTGCTTTCCAGATAAAAAAACAGGAACGGATAAATACCAGACCCAGGAAACCACATGAGTAATCTGTTTTTATGCCACTTTACTGTCTAATCACGTTCTTCTTCCTCTCCTTAACTCTTTCTGCAGGTTTTGTGCGCAGCAGCAGTAGTGTGTCTCCTCACGGTTACGTTCCCAGCTCCACGCCTCAGCAGACCGGTTACACTTCTGTCACCAGCTCCATGAACGGCTACACCAACAACACCGGCATGACCAACCTGGGAGGATCGCCCACTTTCCTCAACGGCTCTGCAGCCAACTCGCCTTATGCTAGTAAGTTCACACGTGCATTTACACCTCTTTCGGATACTCAAACTCTCTGTCACAAACTAAACCTGGCGAAAAACAAATGTTTTACAAGCCATTAGCTACTTCACTGTGGTGGAACTTGATCCATACAGTGGTGAAGTTACTTAATATAGAGTACTTTTAGCTGCCACCAAGCTACTTCAGTTTCAGAGCTACCAGTTTAATTACAGGTGCTCAACACTGCATACATGCATGCAGATCTTACGTCGTGTACCTACACATGTCTGTGGACAGGAAGTGAAAGTCTCAGATCTGCCGAGAGGAGATTTCCCCATGGGGCTTACTGTCTCTGTGTCTTCAAAAACAATCATCGCCTCCATTTTGTCCTCCGTCCATCGCCTCCTTCTTTCCTTCCCTCGCTACCTTTCATCTGACAGCCACACCTCTTTTCTCTCTGTTGGTTAATTGCATCTCTTTTCCATTTTGCAGAAAGCAGAGAAAGAGGGAGAAGAAGGGGGGGGGGGGGGATTTTGATGTGATGTGTTTCTAACTGGTGATGATGCCGGGAAATGAGGATTTCACTTTGGAAGAGAACACTTCAGTGGGACCTTCACGTTTATATGCAAATTATAAACATCTCATTCCTAAACAATGGGCTTCAATATATTGCTGTAACAGCATCCACGTCTTCTGGGAAGCATTTTGGTTGTTTAAATTCATCCCAAATGGTTTTAGTTCAGGATCTTGTGCAGGCCAGTCTTGTTCTTCCATACCAAACTCTGAAAGCCATTTCTTATGGACATGGCAACCGCCCCAAACTGTCTATTTTGTCCACAAATGATTTTCTCCAAAATCCAAAAAGGCATATCTAAAGCTAATTTCTAGACCTGGGTATTGTTGACTACCAATCCCAGTGCCTATATCACCTCACTGTGATACCAAAACTGTTGAAGAAGTATTTCAATCAAAACCTTTGTTCCTTGGTTATTCAACACCTTTCATGTGAATTTACGCATAAAAATGCTACCACCTCTCCTTCACTTGTATCCCCAACGAGTCCTGAAATAATCCTCATGCATTTTATTCATTTATATTTTAGTTTATACCATAAACATGTAATTGAGATATATTTATTCAAGTTGGTGCACTGAACCTCGCTCGACTTCACCACAGTCTGTTAGGATTGAAGTGTGAGAAGAAACATAAAAACAGATACATTTTTGGGAGACGATTGAATGCAGGTATCGTTTGATGGGAAATCTTTCGATACTATTTGGTACTGGTTTATTTGGTTCATACCTTAGGTATCTAGTAGCGATACCCTGCCCTACTAATTTCAATATCTTTGTCATAACATTTAAAAAACATGTGTCATGTTGAATGTGATTGATGAAACAATTGAATGGATCATCATGTTCAATCTAACCATAATCTGTCTCTTTCCTTTATTCTCACCCTCATCCTTAATCCACCCTTTTCTTCTTCATCCCACCTCCCTCCTCCTCTCTTTCTCCTTTTTCCTCCCCTCTCCCCTAAAATAAATAATCACCACCCCCCCAGTTGTCCCATCCAGTCCCACTATGGCCTCCTCCACCTCTCTCCCCTCCAACTGCTCCTCCTCTTCTGGCATCTTCTCCTTCTCCCCGGCCAACATGGTGTCGGCGGCCGTTAAGCAGAAGTCGGCCTTCGCTCCAGTGGTCCGGCCCTCCTCTTCCCCCCCGCCCTCCTGCACCAACGGCAACGGGCTCCAAGGTAATTTACCATGACAGCAGCCAGTGAGTCAGTGAGAGGATGCTCAGCGGGAGGACTTCCCCGGGAGATTCTCTGAGTCCCTGTTGAGCTTCACATCCCTCCTGCACTTTGGTGATGCTGAAATATCTCAACAACCATTCTTTGGATTGTTCTGACATTTTGGTTAGACAATAATGGTCCCTTAAGGGTGAATCGCAATGACTTTGGTGATCCTCTGGCTTTTCCTCACCTTGAGATTCACATGTTTTTAGTGAAATGTCTTAACAGCTGATGATTGGATTACCATGATTTTTACAAATCATTTAGTTTCCCTTCAGGATGAGTTGTAATAACTTTAGTGATCCCTTTCATGTAGCCTATTGAAGCCTGTCCAGTGGGTTGGTTTATGAACAAACACTTGCAAAACTAATGATAATCACATCAGTCTCAGCTGTATTTATTGTTAAGCGACAAATGCTAACGTGCTAGGTGCTACTAGCTTAGCTTAAAGAAACATCATACCCTCTTAAGGTGTAACATTAACATTGTTATGAGTGTTTTCTCTGTTAAATCTCTGATTACAATTTAGACATATGTGTTTCTTGCAAGGACAAATATATCATGTCTGCTTTCTGAACTGCTTGAACTTTTGAATGAATATTTTGTCCTGTCTCTCCCTTTCTCCCTCCTTTTTGATTCCTCTGATCTGCCCTTCCTCTGTTATTTCTCTGCCCCCTATCTTCCTCTCTCTCCTCCCTCTAACAGATCAAACATTTGTGGACTCTAGCAAGTACTCAACAGCCAACTCTCTACAAGGCCTGGCCTTCACCTGAAGTATGTCCCTCTCTTCCTAATTGCATTCACAACTTTTTGTAAACTTACATATTTCAATAAAGTAATGAATATTCGCCTGTTGCACATCTCTTATCTGTCAATGACTAACTCTCCTGATTTCTCACCCCAACCTTTTCTTCCATGTCATACTTTCTTGTCGATCTTGTTTGTCTCCCTCCATCTTCCTTTTGTGTCATCATCTCGTCTTCATCCTCTTCCCCCCCTCACTTTGCCATCTCATACATCTCATCACACAGTACAGATCTGTTGCCTAGTAACTCTTCCTTGTCTTCCTATTGGCTGAGGAAAAACTCAGGAAGTTAGATATTTACAGAGACAAAAGAGAAGACATTTGGCACAATAAATGTATATCTCCAAATCGCAGCCTTTGTTTAGCTGTGTGTGCATTTGCGTTTGCTCATGTGTGTGTTTGTGTGTGTGTGTGAGAATGAGCCTGTGCGGGGGTGTGGGAACTCAAAGCTCAGCCTCAAAGCACAACTGAAATAAACACTCCCCACTTACAGCTATATACACACACTTTCCTCTGTCACACACACTCGGTGATCACACACTGGCAGCTTACTGGGGAGCGATCAACAATGACAGCTGTTCCACTCTCTTGACAGTTTATGCTGGCAGCATACCTGTCTCCTATGGTGTGTGTGGATGTGTGTGTGAGCACCTGAGACAAAAACAAAAAGGGGAAAAAAGATTGTAGATTTTTGTCCGATTCATTATTAAAATACATTAATTCTATGAAGTTTTTTTACTCACAATCGAATGTAGAACCATTTATTTCATCAGTGTAAACAGTGTGTGTGTGTGTGTGTGTGTGTGTGTGTGTGTGTGTGTGTGTGTGTGTGTGTGTGTGTGTGTGTGTGTGTGTGTGTGTGTGTGTGTGTGTGTGTGTGTGTGTGTGTGTGTGTGTGTGTGTGCGTGCGTGCGTGCGTGCGTGCGTGCGTGCGTGCGTGCGTGCGTGCGTGCGTGCGTGCGTGCGTGCGTGCGTGCGTGCGTGCGTGCGTGTTTGTGACTTTGGGCTGGGCTCTGACTCTCACATGTTGACACCCATCCCTTGGGTTTTAATACAACGCACGCCATGATGCAATCTGTCATGCACACACACACACATACAGTAAAATACACCAACTGTTCTAACTTATGTGATGTGTCCCCGCTCAATTTTACTGATTTATTCTTCTATTGATGTTTAAAATGTCGCTGCAGTCACACAGCTGCACAGCTGGGAAAACATATTGATGTGTTTACAAGGGAATGTTTTATGATGAGAAATATTTGGCTGTGTTTTAAACGTTTTTTCTCTTCTCCCCCCCCCCCCCCCCCCCCCTTCTCTCTCTCTCTCTGTTTCTTTTTCCACCCAACAGCAATCCCGGGAATGATCGTCCCACCCATGTAAAGGTGTGAGTGCATGACTGTGTGTGTGTTTGTGTGTGTGTGTATGCGTGTATGTGTGTGTTTGTAACCATGCGAGATGAACCAAGCACACTGATCCTGGCGGAGGATTTCTGTGCGAGTCAGACTCCGGTCGGGGATGGAAGCAGCTGTCCCGATCAGAAGGAACAAACCCAACTCAGGCCCTTTCTAACACAAAAACAACTGCAAGAAAAAACAGATGATGAACAAAACAAACAAAGACTTTTGCAAAGAAAATAAGTTGTTTAGACTTTGTACACCTTGATGCTTTTATAGGAGAACGGCCACGCCTACATTATAACTCTCCACGGACACAGGAAGTGTATTTATTTTGGAGAGAATCACTTCTTCTCTTGAGTGATTTGTTTTCTTTTCGTGCAACAGTTAATGTGTGATAATCCTCTTCTAGCTGTTTCTCACATGAGGGATTTTCTATTTATGAAGTTTGGTCATTGATGAAGGAATATAATGTGAAGAAAACCTGACTTGATGGTGATGATGATGATGAAGAGACTGAAGGATTCAGGATCAAATCCAGCCGACACAGACAAGCCAAATCCACACTCACTCTTTCAGCACAAACACAGACAGCGAGTCCTTCCTCAGCATTTCAGCTGGAGGATTGAGACGCTGCGACTGATGCTGCAAGTTTAGCTTTTCAAGAAACCCCCATGTTTGCTTTGAGCTCGCTTGCACTACTGCATTTTCTAGAAAGAGAAAATCAGTTTTTCAGCCAACAGAGAGAAATACAATTCAGCCACTTAACCAACTAAATAGAAACGCCCACCATGCGAGATGTCATAGAGATATTAGATTTGCTAGAGATCTTAGTCAGAATAGATTGGACTGCGAAGAGGCCATAAGAAAGTGCAAATGTTTGTGATAACAGGGTGCCAACTGCATCTTCACTGTTGAGGATTGTACCCAACAACTCTGCCAGAGTCGTCCATCAGCGCTGTTTTAAAGTCAGACATCGCCACAGCACCCTGAGAGGGGGAACATGTCTTAAAGACTGCTGCCATTTTCCCTTTGTTTTATTGTGATAGTTGCCTTCTCAAATGTTTGTCTTAATGCATAAATCCACATATGTTTTCTTTCTTTTGGTTTGCTGTGTTTTTTGTATTCTTCAGAACAGCCAATCAGATTGTGTTGTGTTTTGTTACCTGCCCACTTACTGTATCTCGTGTGATTGACGGCTTGAGTGAGAACATTATCCAATGGTGTGTCTTAAATGCTGCGCTGCAAAAAACGTAATCTAAATCTTCAATGAGTCTTAAAATCAAACTTTTTAAAACATCTTCCACTTAGGTTCACTTTATTTAAAATCTGCCCTTCATTTCTTTTCATTTTTTAAGTGCATCTTTATTTAAAAGTTCACCATAGTTCACAATATTTGCATTGCATTTACACTTCCTAAGAGGTAAAGATGAAATATGAATTTTCATATTTTGTAATACATCTTTTGATATAAACTAAGAAGGACTTTTTTTGCAGTGCAGGACAATTATACAGCTATGTCTTAATTAACCAGTGTGCAAGTAGGAGAAAAGTATGTATTGATTTGTGGTGAACTCACTGCTTCCTCAGCCCTGCAGTGTGTGTGTGTGTGTGGTGCAACAGTCTTAATTCATTTATAATTATGTTAATTTTTGCCAAAAACCCTTATTTGAGACATCAATTTATCATACAGTCTTATCCCACAGCTCCTACATTATTTGCCTTTTCTTGCCATACATACAGTGAAGTGTCAAGTGTTCATCATTTAGGTTGATAACATAATACAAATTAATTGAAAGTACATTCTTAACTGGACAGAAAACCTAGCTAGAATCAAGTGCTGTTATAGTAAATCCAAGATATCTGATTAACAGGAAATATGTGTTACTCCTGTCTGACGGGATCTGGCCTGGAAATTAGTGATTGATAAAAAAATGTTAATTTAAACCTCAGCCAGACATCAGAAGGTAATAATGAAGGTCCGTCATTAAAGCAGTGTGCCGACATTTTGGATGAATTATTAGGGCGTTATCAAGAATTTGATAAAAGACAGAAAACTAATTTAAAAAGGGAAATAAAATCGTTGTGATTTTAGTGAGAACAACTGAAACAGAGAAACCTCACATCCTTGAAGTTGTGCTCCTCTGCCTAAAGATTTGAATGTTATTCAGACATCTTCTCAGTTTTGTATTATAGTGTCTGTTTTTTTTAAGAGCGATACTTCCACTGCTAATTTCAATCAAACTAAAATAAGCCATGGTGTATTTGTTTTAATATGTGTAAGTGAAGGAAGCGGACAATATTTTTCATTTTGTCACAAAGTTGTTGTCCTATCATTATTGTTGAGGTTTGCATAATGTAGTTGCATCGTCTAGTTGTAGAGTTGTTAAAAATGTCACTATGATTATCTGTGTTTGTCTTCCATGTGATGGATTTAAGGATAGAGCTGCTCGATGAAGGCCTTCTCCTGTTCGGTCAGGTTTTCTGTCCTCTCTTTGCTCTCTCTGTCCCTTCATTTCCTTCCTCCACCTTGTTTTGATTGTGCTTTTAATACTCTCTATGTTTGCCCTCTTTTTTCCTTTCCCTCACAACATGAGCCACGTATTTATTTGATCTCAAATATGGGTCTGGAGACCACTTTTCTGTTTGTGTCTACATGTGAGATTGCCTGCGACTGTGAGTGTGTGGGTCATCTTTATTTTCTTTTTCTGAAAGAATATTGTGATGTTTTGAAGCTAAAGGATGTCTTTTTTATAGTACATATATAAATACCTGTACAGGAAAGTACAAAGAGGGTTTGGTTAGAAGAATTATGATCTGAAGCACTTGTCCAACAGCAGTAATAACATTTATCATGGCTTGTCTGCGTTTAGGCTTAAAGTGGTGGTCATCATTCATGCACGCATTATCAGCAGTGTGGAGGGGAAGAGTACACAGGAGACTACTGTAAAGATGATAATGTTGATTCTTTTTTTTAACTTTGAAGTGTAAAATAACTTTTTGACTCTCACTATATTTAATTAAAGTTCTTTCTTCTCTGTGAAAAA